ATTTCTTGTTTCCCCTGCAGTGCTGGCAGCTCCTGGCTCTGTGTGCCCCACTTTTCCTGCCTCAGCACCACTTCCTCTGGTACGTCAAACAGCAGCTCCAGCGCCACGCAGATCCCCGGTGAGTGCATGTCGTTTCCTCTGCCACTCTGGCACTACCGACTGGCATGATCTGGAGGGACGCAGGGGAGACTAGGATGGATCAGATCGCCCCGCCCTCTGGGGTTTGCACAGTGGTCATGTAGACTTTGCCCATCACCATGTACGCAGATGGGCACGTGGAGATCTGGGCACCCTCTACACACCAATCCACGTGTGTGTGGGTATTTAGTGGGGGCCCTCATGTGGAGCTACCGCGCCCCCAGATCATCCCCAGATTTGCATTCTCTGTTGCCATGTTTTCTGGCTTCTGCAGAAAATATCTGTGCCAGCAACCAGCAGCAGATAGGCCCTGAATGACAAATTAACACCCCAGACCAGTCTTTGGGGCTCGTGTCACAGCCTTCCAGCTGCAGGTTTGGTCCTATAGGTTACATGTAGGTAGGGAACCAGGGTGTCAGGGTGGTAGGGATGAGTGGATTCCCGGTTTTCCTTTCTTCCTTCTCCTGTCTTTTTAGAAATGAGACGGGCCAGTACGCCACGTACTGCCAGCGGGCAGTGGAGCGGACGCTGCAGACTGGGGAGCGGGAGGCCAGGCCCTCGCGCATGGAGGTGGTGTCTATCCTGCTGCGGAACCCCTTCCACCACTCCTCGCCCTTCAGCATCCCCGTGCACTTCGCCAACGGGACTTACCAGGTGACGAGCGACCTACCAGGTGACAAGGCTGCCGCGCTCCCTGTGCTGAGTCTTCTCATATTGCCATCCCAGAGGAGAATACCTTTGGGCCAGTGGGTGCTAAGCCTCCTTAGGCCCAGCAGATCTTAACAGGCAGACCAGCCAAAGGGTGGGCCTGGGCTGCAGGGGCGAGTGGGGCCATTCGTGCCACTGTGGAGGGAGTACAGAGCTTGAATCACAAAAGTACTTCACTCTTTGGGGCCTGGGAAGAGGACCTTTTGAACCCACTACGTGAACAGGGAAGCTGACACACTGACCAAGAAAGTGGCAGGGGAAGGGCCTCCCAAAGAGTGACAGGAAAGGAGGAACGGAGCTTATGTGGGACTTCAGTTTATGGTAGGCGGGCTCCTCCCTTAAGCACTCACCCTCTGCACGTGGAAACCAGGCTTTCTTTGGCCTCTGTCGTCGCCCTCACTCCTTTCAGCCATGCCTTTCCACCTCCCAGCCTCTGACCCCCCCCACTAGCCCCCGTGGGCCCCTCTCAGGAGGTCCCCTCTCCCGGCAGGTGGTGGGTTTTGACGGCTCCTCCACAGTTGACGAGCTCCTCCAGCGGCTGAACCAGGAGACGGGCATGAGGAAGTCCTCCCATTCTGGCTTTGCCCTCTTCACGGACGACCCTTCTGGCAGGGACCTGGAACACTGCCTGCAGGGGAGCGTCAAGGTGATGGTCCCCCATAAGCCAACTGAGCCACCTTGGTCTTCAGGATTTTGTGTTCCCAGTCTGTTTGGAGCTGAGCCCGAGGCCAGCATTTCTGTGCCATCTTAAAATGTGCCCATATAGGCAGAGAAAAGTCGTTTGTGCCCTTGTCTCTGGAGAGAAGATCTCCACATCCCTCCCTCCTTCCCTCCCTCCCTTGAGAGGCTGTTCAGCTTCCAGAAGAAAAGCCGCTTCCCAGCTCAGGGTAGGAAGGACAGGGAGGCACTTCTCAGCAGCAGCCCCACCCGGGCGGAGCCCGTCTACACACATGCGTAGACGGACAACTGTACACCTGGACCCAGCAGATGTTGTGCTGTACGCTGGCAGCTCACTCTTACCCAGTCTGCCAGGGCCCGTGCTGTGCTTACAGGTCCCACCAACTTTAAAGAGGTAGATCCTTGTGGTACTTCTGTGCGTAAAGGCCCTTGAGTGGGATTCGAACCCTGTGTTGCATTAGGGTCTGGGGTTAGAGCCGCGGGGCATGCTGGGTGTTTGTGGGATGTGCTGGAGCACTTGATGAGGGTGAGGGTTTTGGCTGCAGTTTCTGCTTTGCTTTATGGTGACAGGACAAAGGCTCCTATAGTCTTTTACCATTGCCTGGAAAAACTATGCCCAGGCATCCGTAAGGCTTTGTTACACAGTAGGCCTCCGGTTATATTTGTTGAAGAGAATGGCGGTTGGTGGGAGGGAAGTGGAGCCAGTGATGAGGGGCCATGGTTTTGAACTGGGGCCTGCCTAGCCTCTGGGAGGCCCCCTCAGATGTCCAGGCAATGGCGGCAGCATTCCATGGTTTGCTGCCCACGCCATGCTCAGAGCTACACCTCTGTCTGCGAGAAAGCCGCAGGCACCCTGGGTCCTGGGAGCATGAGGCCCCGCGGGTCAGCCTCCTGATGGAGGACAATCCTTCAACTCTGTCCCGCTGCTCTGCCCAAGTCCAGCCCTGACTGGACCTTGTTCCCTTCATCAGGGGCTTGTCTGACTTTCCTCTTTTGCCTCATGCAGATCTGCGATGCCATCTCCAAGTGGGAACAAGCCCTGAAAGAGCTGCACTCCGGAAAGTCTGAGGGTGGCACACGTGTTGTGAAACTGATGTACAAGAACAGGTCCTGGGCACCGCCAAGGGGGACCAAGCCTGAGGGCTGCTGCTGGGGTGCAGCTCATCACTCCCCCAGCTGGAGGCCTATCCTGCACAGGCAGGGCGCCCAGATATATAACACTGCCTGCTGGTCAGTAGCTGGAGGCCCAGGCTGGCTCTGCTGGCCTCTGTGAGACCCTGGACAGCTCAGGCTCTCCGTCCCTGTACTGTGTCTGCACACTCACACATGCATGCACACACACACACACACACCCCTGCCCCCCAAACAGACCAACTTCCTCAGGTGGCTGCATGTGTTACATTAGGAGAGGAAGATTTTGTCTGAGCACTAGATATTTAAGACTAAAGAATAAATTGCTCCTGGGAGCTTCCCTGGTGGCGCAGTGGTTGAGAGTCTGCCTGCCGATGCAGGGGACACGGGTTCGTGCCCCGGTCCAAGAAGATCCCACATGCCGCGGAGCGGCTGGGCCCGTGAGCCATGGCCGCTGAGCCTGCGCGTCCGGAGCCTGTGCTCCGCAACAGGAGAGCCACAGCAGTGAGAGGCCCGCGTACCAAAAAAAAAAAAAAAAAAGAATAAATGGCTTCTATATACCAGTTCCAGGAAATACAGAAGGAGAAATCCTGACTTAATACCAATTTGACTAAGAAAATTCCATCCCAGTATGTCTCCAGGCACATGATTTCCATTAGTCTCTTGGAATCTTAACTCATTTAGTTTCCTAATAAGCTATGATTCCAGGTACCAGATTCCCCTCACCAAATCCAGTAAGTCTTAATGGTGAATTCAGAACCGACCACATGCTACTGTTGCTATGGGACCTGATGGCCCTCTATCTGCTCTGTGTCATGCTTGGTTAAGTTTTTCTGGAGGCAGTGGAAAATAGGCTCACAGATGGTATAAAAAGAGTAGTTTCTTTCTTTCTTTGTAAATCAAGATAAACAGATGCAGAGACAGCTTCATCCGTTTGGGATCCCAGCTGAGCCCTGGCTTCTCACTCTCTCCCCTGTAGGCTGTACTTTCGGAGTCAAGTCAAAGGGGAGACAGAGCGAGAGCGCCTGCTGCTTGCCTCCCAAACTAGCGGAGAGATAGTGGCAGGGAGGTTTCCTGTCAACAAGGAGCTGGCTCTGGAGATGGCTGCACTGATGGCCCAGGTAAGGTTCTGTCCAGGAGTCAGGAGGGTCAGGAGACGTCTTGGACTCACAGGTGGAGTGCACCACACAGGCTGAAACAGGAGATTCTGCGGGTCCTGAGGTGCCAGAGAGGACAGCCTTGCTGACTCCTTACCCAGCAGAGTGCCTCACTGCAGATCCAGGCTACATGCAGAACTCTGGGCGTGGAAACCAGGGGCCTGGGTTTGAATCCTAGCCACCTTCCCGCTATGAGATCTTGGCCAAGTCACTTCACTTGTCTGTGCTGTAGTTCCCTTTTTCATATCCCGAAAACAAAAATACCTCCCTACCTGCCCCAACAGGGTTGTACTAAGTGTAATTCCTAGATAATGTATGTCATATAATGTATGTGGTTAAGTGTGTACTTACAGCTGTCAAACATTGTAATGAGAACTAGGAAAAGGAACACACATTCAGACTTTGACTCTTCTATTACCTTTAGGAGGCTGTCTTGCCAAAGGAATCTGGGATACCTTCATGGTTCCCGTAAGAAAGAGTCTGGATCTACATGCTGGAGAGGATGGGGAAATAATAACAGTGGACCTTTAATACAGTAAACACGTATTGAGTATGCTGTAGAGGGCCCTGTGCGAAACATTTTATATGTAGTACCCTATTTAGTTCTCACCCCCGCTTTATAGATGAGTAAACTGAAGCTCACAGAGTTTAACTTGATCATGGTTTCAGAGCTGGTAAATGGCAGAGCCGGGATTTGAGCCAAGTATCTGACTCTAATGGCCACATTTGGAACAGTCAGCTCTACTGAAGGATCTATAGCATCTTCAATCCTGTATCCCATATTTTTGGATTAGGAGCCAGAATTTCTATAGTGTTTTCCCTTGTCTGCCACTAATTAACTGTGTCTTTGGATAAGGCACTTAACCTCAGCTGCAAAAGGAAAGTTGATCTAGACAATCTCTAATATTCTAGGACCCTAAGGTTGTTTCTCTAGTGTCTGTGAAACTTGAGATAAAGGGTCTGTCTGTACACAAGAAGTGTTTTTTCACATCCATTCACACCTCACCAATAAAGGGATGAAATAATGGTTTATTTCACCTCTCTCAGCAGGCCCCCAACCCCATTCACATCCAAATTCCTGATTTGTCCCTCCATGTGCTTCTACCACAGGTAGAGTATGGGGACTTGGAGAAGCCCATCCTGCCAGGACCTGGGGGCACACCCCCTGCCAAGGCTCTGCATCACCTCCAGCAGGTCCTAGACAGGTTCTACCCAAGGCGCTACAGACACGGGGCCCCCCTGGAACAGCTGAGGTAGGCTGCAAGGTCTTGCAGGGAGTCACTGTAGGGAGGCATGGGCTGCAGAGTTGGGGAGAACCTCAGAGCTGCAACAGAAACATGGCACCATCTCTCTCCATCCGTCTAAACCAGGCACCTGGCAGATCAGCTGACCACAAAGTGGGCAGCACTGCAAGGCTGCTCCTCTCCTGAGTGCATCCGCATCTACCTGACAGTGGCCCGGAAATGGCCCCTCTTTGGTGCTAAGCTCTTTGCTGCTCAGGTAAGTGTGGGTGGTTTCCAGCCGAAGGAGCGGTTACCACACCCTCAGGAACTAAGTTTCTCCTGGATTCGGTCATGTTTGAGCCAGTTCAGTCTGCAGCGCCCACCCGCAACCACTAGGGGTCACTATCTTTCCACCCATTTCTTGCCTACTCCAGCTTTCCCTGGTCCAGAGCAGTTGTGACTCATGGCTTCCGGGCCAGGGTTATTTCTGGGCGATCCTTAACTTTCCTTTATTGACTTCTTTCCCAATCCTACCCTTGAAAAAAAAGATAGGGTCAACTAATCCACAACAGAGTTCAGACTTGATATGATGTTCCTCTTGAGAATGTTTTTATTTTAAAAAAAGTTTGAAAGAACAACGTGTAACCTAAACAAATACATCTCTGCTGACCTGGTGCAGCCACAGAGGGATCTGACTACTCAGGCACCAGTTAATTTCTCCTGCTGGAAGGCCAGGTGGCTAAAAGTAATTGCAGATGGAACTTTTCTTCACTGGGTATCTGGTGTGCACAAAACTTTGTATGTAATCACACAGAGTGTCCTATCCTCGAAGCTGGATCATGATCCTGTTCACTGAGGATACAGATTAGACAACAGACATTCACTCATTCAACAAAGAATTGAATTGTTGAGCTCCTACTATATCTCAGGCATTGTGCTAGTTGTCTGAGGTGACAAGAGGTGAGCAAATCAGACACGTCCTCGCCTTCATGGAGCTTCCCATCTAGTGGGGGACGTACACACTAATCAAATATTCACACATACACTCTCTCTTTCTAAATATATATATATATATAAAATATATATAATTTTTTTAGAAGCTGTCACAAGTGCCATGAAGGAAAAGTACAGGGGTGTTATAAAGGCATATAACATGGGGACCCACTTAGTCTGGAAGGTTGGGAGAAGCTCCTGAAAAAAGGGACATGTCCATCTCTCTCCCCAGCCTCCCCAGGGTAGGAGAGACAGGAAATCTAGATTGCCCTACTGCAGCCCTGGCAGTGAAAATTAGTCATTCTAGGACTTATCCACCAAATAGTCATTTTTCTCCCTGGTAGGGCCTAAAGCCCTTGCATTATTGTTTTCCTAATTATTTTATACTCCCTAGGAAATTGGTTGAAGCAAGATGCAGTTTGCACTTAGGAGGGCCTGTGGGTGGAATGCTGTCAGTTTCTGAGAGCCAGGAAAAAACAGCCTGTTCTCCATGCCTGTGGCAGAACAGCCAGGGCTGGCCTCTGTTCTGGAACAGGAACAAAGTGTACTGTGTTCTGTACCATGGCAGGATGGGCTATAGGTACTACAAGAAAGTGATACTCGGGGTTGTTAGTAGGTGGCCAGAGCCCCAAGCCAGGTGCCTCCTGCCACGAGCAGCCTGTTTACTCCAGCATGCTATACAAATACCATCTTCTATGTTTTCCAAAAGAAAAAAGTTGGAAATCACTGCCTAGCAGATCCCTGGATGTGCCTTCTTCCTCAGAAAGCTCTAGTGGTTCAGAATCCTTAGCTGTGGATGTCTGATGGGATTTTCCTGTTCCCCCAGCCTGCACAGCTGTCTTCCAAGGAGAACACTCTGGTGTGGATTGCGGTGAATGAGGATGGCGTCAGCATCCTGGACCACAACACCATGGTACGGGAGGATGAGGGCTGGCTTCCTGACCCCTCCTTCTCCTGGCAGTATCTTTTCTTCTCTCTGGACTCAAAGGGCTGAGCTAAGTGACCATGGTTTTCCTTCCCCCGCCCCCTGCCCAAGTACTGCTGTCCTCTAGTCTAGACACAGCTTGTAGACATTCAAAATGTAGATCTCCAAAGTGTGACCACTTTGGACTTCTCCCTTCCTGGTCTGGAAGAGACCGGGCATGCTGGCTCCTAGCTCAGGAGGCAGGTGCAAAGTTTTTCCAGAACTAACTGGATCTTTCCCCACAGCAAGTGCACGTCACTTATCCCTACTCTTCAGTGATGACCTTTGGTGGCTGCCGGGATGACTTCATGCTTGTGATTAGATCCACTTCAGACCAGAGCTCTGGAAAAGGCCACATTGAGAAGCTGATCTTCCGGATGGCTGCTCCCAAGGTGGGTCTGAAAGCTGCTAAAACATTTTACCCTGCTGTGGTCTGATGAGATGGGCTCGGAGCTTAGAAAGGAAACTGGGGTTATGACAGTACTCTAGAAGGGCCCTGCCCCAAATGAAACTTTTGGCCCTATCATCAGTACCCCAGAGGGTTCGGGTGGCGTCTCTGCTGAGCTGGCAGGTGGGGGGGCTGGCGGGAGGGGGAACTCACTCTGGTCCAGCTACTCTGCGCTCCTCACGTTACCTTCCTCTGTTCTGTCAGCCACAGCACTGGACAGGCTTGAATGGGGGCCCTCTTGCTGCTGTCATCCTTGCAGCAGGCCCAGGTGTTCTCACCTTGCCTTGGGCTCTGCTGTCCCGGCACTAGTCACAAGTGGAACACTCTGAAGATGCTCCCCCTTCCCTGGGGTCCTAGGAACTGTTCACTTTAAGGGCCTTGTTCCTACTCAGTACAGGAAATGTTGATGCAAAAAATAACAATTGCAGAGACTCTGAAACCAAAGTTCTGATTTATAGTTCCTGGCTCCCTTCTGAGCAACTGGAAACCCTGTTGTTTTAACCCTAAAGCTGGAGTTCGCCAAACCACCTCCTCCTTTCAATACTGTCCCTGCCAAAGGAGAGGCTATACAGAGCCTTTCCTCCAGGGAGGCTGCCTTGCCTTGTCTTGGAGACAGCCAGGGCGGAACGTTGGTCCTCCTGTCCTCAGGAGGTACTGGGCACCTCAGGACCTCCAGACGCCTATTTCACTAGGCCTCTGAGCCTCACAGGAGCCAGCCCCTTTGGACATTTCCTCCCAGGTGGGTATTTTAACTTAGGGGACAAACTGGAGCCCAGGAAGCTTATATAACCAGTGCAACAGCTAGTAAGTGCGAGAGTCAGGATTCAAGCCAAAGCCAGCGTTCAATTCCTTTGTTTCTCCTTCTCTCCTTAGATTGCAGAGGTGACCTTCATCATGGCCAGCTACATGAACCACTGCTCCACAACCGTGGACCCACCCCCCAACCCGCCTGCTGCCTGCCAGCCATGGGAACTGGATGGACGACAGTTCTTTGCTTCTGTTCCATGTGCTGCCAAGGGGCCAACGTTGCTGTGAATATTCCTCCTACCCCTTTCCCCACCACCACCTGGTGCCTCTGGGATTAGAGAAATGTATCTTCGGGTGCGATACTACTGTGATGGGTCTAACAGCCCCCTGCAGCCTGCCCCAGTTGTTCTGTGAAATGTGTATTTCAGTGTCCATGAAGCCTTTACTCTCTAGGTGCCTTATAATGTTTCAGGGCCAACCTTTAAAAATCCAGACCCAGTATAAAAACCACTTTGTTTTCATAAGAATACTGAGCTCTGGATGCTGCCCATTTCTAGACACAGATAGGGATGGCCCACTGTTACTGGTTACTGAGGGCATCAGTGCTGTAAGTCAGAATTTCCTGCACTGCTACTCTCAGGGAGACTAATATGTTTATGTTGTGTATGGTCCTCATGCAGGGGTTTATACTTGAAGTTTTCCTGACATCCCTGAACAGGGGAGGACTAGAATTTCCAATTCACCTGAACTCCAACAAAAGCTTAGAACTCACTAAGACTGGACTTCCTTTCCCATATGGGAAAGGTGTTGGCAGGGCTGGAGAAAAAGGAGGAGACTCACCTTTCCCCTTCCCCTGGTGCGAACGAGGAGGCATCAGCGGTGCCCTTCTGGGGCAGCGGCACCTGTCTCTGCAGGACAAGGCGCTATTCCCCTGAGACTGAAGCTGTTCTCCCTCACACTGGACTGTCAGCCCAACTGGGTACAGGCAAGGGCAGGGGCTAGGTCCAACCTGACCTCTCCCTGTCTCATTTTAACAACTGGACAGGGCTCAGTGAAGGCTGTTCTTACTACTATAGGAGAAGGTGGTCGTCGCTTGTCCCCCTGCTCTTTGAAAAACCAAGCAAATGCATTCTGCTTTTTGCTGCTCTGTGAGGCCACCAAAGATGAGTCAGAAACAGAAGACACCCCTGCAGGCTCGTGGGCCTGGATTTGCTCCTTAAGACTTCTGGCGAACTTGCGCTGGGAATGTTTGAGGGCAGACGCACATATGTGTTATCTGTCCTAGCCTGGGAGCATCAGTTGAAAGTATCTTTCACCTTTTGTCTTCCTGACGATGCCAATATGCCCCCATCCCCGAGTGAGACCTTCTGTTGGATGCAGAGATGATCTTGTCTCCGCCCTCCCTTAACAGGAAAAAAAAGAAAAAAAGACGAAAGAGTTCATTTATACTCTGATTTTCCAACATTGAGGAAACTGAGTTTTATTTCATAGCTCTAAGGCAGTCTTATCATTTTTCGATAAAGTGCCAAACAAACTATATAGGTTTAGCAGTAGCATCCAAGAACCAAGCCTTTAACCCCAGCAAAGTGTGTGTGTGTTGCACACTGTGAAAACTGCAAGGCTGGAACTAGTTTATCTGAACACCTCAGCTGCTGTAAGCTTCCCCTCTCTCACCCATTAAACTGACAAGCATGATGAAAAAAGCAGCACATCAGAGTGTCTACCTTTTTTAAACGAACTTGACTTTGCCAGGCTGGCAATATTATAGCTGCCTCCCATTTCTGTTCCTGCCTTTCCCCCAGCATTTGGGATTTAGCTGAGACATTTCTACCTCGAACAAGTCACATGTCCCATGTCCCACAGGCTCCTGAATAACCCCTCCAGGGCTGGTGTAAAAGGCAGAAGTTACAGCTCTGGTTTTGTAATATCTTGAGTGTGTCTAAGGCAAATAAGGAATTATCATCTAGCCAGGAGTTAAAAAAAAAAAAAAAAATCCCAAAGAAAAAGTAAGCAAGAATGGAGCTGTGTTCATATTGAATTTGGGGGTCAAGCTATTTCCCCCGCCCTGTCTTCTTCCCAACCCTTCAGGAATCCTCCCTTAGTTTATTAATTTTATATAGAAGAAACTGCCTTATAAACAAAGGCTTCTACAGTATGTATGTTTATCCTTCTTTAACATGTCTGGGAACCAAAGTCAAATTTCTGTCTGGCCTTTTATCTCACCCCTCTTGGCAAAAGAAGTTTTTGAAACCATAGACAATGCTGAGTAACAAGAGTATTAATGTGCTAGACACCCGTGACTGAAATGCCATGGTCGTGTTTGTCAATAAAAAGCAGCTGTCCGAACCAAGCGATTGTGTATGTTTTGGAAGGAGATCTGTTTATTAAGAGAATCATCATAAATTAACCCTGTACAGAACACAGGAGCTAGGTGGACAGAGAGTAGTCTTTTGTAGGACATTTCTTCCTACTGACCAGCCCCTGAAGGGCTTGCTTTTTCTCTTAGCTTTTATACAGGGGTACTGTGCAGTTGAAAATTATCTTTCTCAAAAGATCTGATGTCAGTTTCCCATCGTCTTGCTCTACAAATTTCAACAAAAAGTAAACTTGAACGTGCTTAGGAATATCACAAAGTGCTCTTCGTCAACATTACTCCTGACATACTGTTTCGAGGTCTCCCCTCAGGTGGTAAACGAAATCTTACAAGGGGAACACTAAAATACACATAAATACTTTGCTCAACATCACACAATAAGTTAGGCTTCCAGGCACCTGCTCTACGGCTCTGAGATCCACCGCATCCATACTGGTTCCTAGGACTGTGCCCACTTGATGCTTTAAAATACAGAAAATAAACCAGCCACTGTGGCTTAGGAGTCATCTCCTCTGGAAAACAATACTGGCCTTCTAAATGCTGGGACTCACGGGCTCGTTGATGTGGCTTTCTGGTGTGCCAGGATATCCTGGCAGCTTCTGTACACTTCAATCAAGCAGTCCAGCCGGGGCTTGGCACTCTGAATTCCAAAGGGGAGAAATGCAGAGACAAGATGAACGTAAAGTGCTTAGTGGTATTGTGTCCATGTGCAACCTCAATCTCTCACCCACGACCAGGGGGTCTAAATGGTACAGGTGTGGGCTTCAGAGAGGCAGAAGTTCAGGCCTCACAGCATTTTGCTAGGAGGAATCCCTAACCAGGCCCACATCCCCGCCTGTGAACTGTGGAAGCAGGAGCTCGAAAGACAGTTTTAAATCTAAATTTCATGACCTCCACCTAAGAGAAAGCAAGAAGAGTAACAAGGACAGACCCTCTTGGGAAGTATCACAAGCTGCGAAGCAGTTCCCAGAGACAGGAAGGGCAGTTTAATAGGTAAATATTGAAAATTATTTTGTATAATGAAATATAATACAACCAAATGAAAAGCCACAGAATAGGAAAAATATATGGGGAAAGCATATTTCATAACAGTTTGCTACCCAAAATATATAAATCGTTACAATGCATAATCACTATCTAGTATCTACTTGACTAATAGAGGAGATGGATAGTTTAAAACAGAAAATACTGATAGGTAGTACTTACAAGGAAATATGAAAAGTCTCTTTGTCATTTAAAGAGACACAAATTTAATAACTCTAAATTCCTTTCCCTACATACTAAACTAAAAAATAGCTAAACCCACTGTTAGCCAAGACTACAGGAAAACAAGTACAAATTCGCAAAAGTATGGTAAAGTTGTCCAATCTCTGGAGCCAAATCTCAAACATGATTAAAATCTATGAAACTATTCATAAGCTTTAATAAAATAATTTTGAACTATAATGCAAAAGAATTTTAGCTTAGCCTCCTTAAATCCTTTGTGGAAAAGGAAGGGCAGTGAGGCAGAGTTAACTGCATACATAAATACTTTACATACCTATAAAATAATTGATTATAATCACGTTTGTATAAGTTTTGTGTTTTTTTAAATTTTTTAACATCTTTATTGGAGTATAATTGCTTTACAATGGTGTGTTAGTTTCTGCTTTATAACAAAGTGAATCAGTTATACATGTACATATGTCCCCATATCTCTTCCCTCTTGCGTCTCCCTCCCTCCCACCCTCCCTATCCCACCCCTCTAGGTGGTCACAAAACACTGAGCTGATCTCCCT